CATTTTTTTATACATCAATTTGTATGAGTTATTTTTTTTATTATTGTTAAAAAAAAGATATATAAAGAGAAAAAAAAAATGTAATTGATCTTTGAAAATAAATATGTAATATATCAGATAATAAAATTTAAATTATGATTTAAAAATAAAATGATAATCAATGAAAAATGTGTAATAATTATCTATGATAAAACATGGAATTAATACTATTCCAACAATATCGTTGTATTAACAAATTTAAAAGATATTGAAATAGTTGAAATAATATTTCCATCCTACAAGAAATATTATTTTTAAAAGAGGCAGAATTTTTGGGCATAGAAGTTTTGAAAATGAATAAAGATTTTCAACTTATGAATTATACCGATTAACAGATCAGAAGTTATGATTTTCTACCACAACATATCTTTTATGTCGGCCAAATATCATTTAGTTGATATGGTAAAAGCTGAAAATGAAAAAATTAAAATTATATCCCAAAGTTCTATAATAAAATATTAAGCGATAAACTCTAAGATCCTGATAATTTATGTGATAACATACGGCCTGCACTGCATGTTCAGCAAAGTTGCCGAAGTTTTGATTGTCATGAAAATAAAGAAATTGTTAGTAGTTGTCATCTGTCAACCATGATAAATCATCACAGAATGGAATAGGAGATTGGTGATATCCAATAAATTAACGAATGATGTGAAGAAATAATTCATCGGGGGTATTCTGGTGAAAATGTAATATATCAATTTTTGGTATTGTAGGTTGCCCGGGTATATTGATATTGTAAATATAGCAAAATGTGTTCTAAGTGATAGAAAGAAAACCTGAACCAAAGATAGATTATGAGATAGAAAATGATGAGAGATAAAGTCAAAATCATGATTTACAATCGAAAGAGAAAATACCTAAATCAGCTAAAATATGGTTCAATTATTCTGACTCATAAAAGTTCATTGGAAGTTACAGAAATAGTTGTAGCAAGAAGGTATGGCTATGGATACTACATTACGTTGTTCATCAAGAAACCGTAAATTAACAAAGAAGCTTATTGAGAAAATTTAACTTATGTTTAGAGGAAATGTAATAAATATTATTTAAAAAACAAAAGAACATTCTAGAAATTGATTATTATTTGAAAAATATGTAATATATTAATTTTTAAAAAAAATTTAAACAAAGCATATTTATTATTCTAATAAAGAATATAATGAAATAAACGGTAAATAGAGGTCTGCACGGGTTGTCCGAAGTCCCACCCGACTTGATAAATAATATAAATATCCTGAATAATCATTTTAATTCATAATGTCAATTAAAATTATGCGTCATTTTTTTAATCTAACACATTACATCATTAAAATGTCAATCAGAATAACATGTCATTTTAATAACCGTTTACCAAACTATTTTGTTATATTTTTGTGATTAGAATATATTTATCTAATATCCATATTAAATAGCCTCAAATTTTCAATATTAAAAATAGTTTACCAAATCATAAATTGAAACTTAACAAAAGACTTTCCTAATGTGTTTTAGCCCTTAAATTCGTGGTCATCCCTGCTTCCTCGGCTAGCAGTTAAAGAACCCTTTCAGCAGTTGATAGGGCTTTTCAAGATATTAGGTCTTGTTTAATTAGTGGCACTCGACTCCTCATTATTTATATATCACAGTATTCACGATGTGATAGATACTATTGATAATGATATATCTATATCATACACATTTTATATATTCTCAATAATTTTTAAAATCGATTGTATTTAACCTTTTTTTACTATCTAAACTGAATAAAAGGTATATGTTTCCAATAACTTTTTAATTGTTTTTTGGATATCATAATATTCACACTCAAATTTAAAATAACTTAGTCGGTTTCGGGTCGGATTGAAAAATTTGAATTCAGGTTAGGAGCTCGCACAAATTTTTTTTATATAATTTGAGCTTGAACCGCCTAAAAATCACTTTGCAGATTTCTAGGGGTAAATAATGTTTAAACAAACATCAATTGTTTTTTAATAAAAAATATTTTACGTAAAAAATATTAATTTTTAAATTTAATAAATATTTAATTCCTAAAATTTTAAATATTTTTTAGGATTTCTTTTCTTTAGAAATCAATTTATTTAGATGAAAATATGATATATATTTGATTTTATAATAATTTCGATAAAACAATAGGTAAAATATACAATCCTTCGACTTCGAAGATGATATTTTTTTAGAATATAAAACAGTAAATTAAAATTATTAATATAAATTCATTAAAAGGGATTACCTAATTAATTGGCTGTCCGCGATAACCCAACTCCAGATATTGTTGCATATGTTGTAAAATTTTGTAAAATCATATTGAATGAATCCACGAAAGAGCTCAATAATATTGGTAATAATTTCATCCCGTGAATTAGGTCGAGGAGTAATTGCTCGAAATTTATTTTTGAATGCACCCAAAAAAAATTTCTATGGGATTGAGCTGGTGTGAATTTGACGGTAGGTATTCATTTATCTTTGTTGGCATCGATAAAATGGGATTTACAAATAGATGCAATATCCATTACAATAATTGCATCAGGTGGCAAGATATTAATAAGCTGTCACATGGAATCTCGGGATTTACTATTATAAGCTCCCTCTATAATTTTATTGTGAATTACTACTCTTTTCAGATCTATTTATGATTATTGAAGGTCAACGGTCCGATCCTATCGGTCTCAAACCGGGACTGGACCAGATATATCTTTTTATAGACCATAGTCCGGATAGGTTTTCTATTTTCTACTATCCGGACCAGTGGCGTAGCTACGGGGGTGGTTTTCGGGTTTGGACCCCTCCCAGAGCAAAATTTTTTTTGAGATTATACGTTCAAAAGACTTAAAAGTGATTTTACATGAATTATATTTTTCTAGTTTTGATGTTTGTGGAAGGATATTATATTACTATTGAAATTATTCTGGATAGTATTATTATAAAGTCATTGAGAATATACTAAATTATAATAACATATTATTGATGCATTTAAAAAATATATTTATTATATATTATTGAAGATATGGTTATGATTTGTAAGATAAACCCGGCCGAAGGCCGGGCAAAAGGGCCGAAGCTTCCCCCCAGATTTTATATGTATGGACCCCCTCTAAGGAAAATTCCTAGCTACGCCACTGATCCGGACTATCTTTTATTAATATTTAAGTTTGCTTTTCTATTCAATTATATAATTTATACTTAATTTTTTTGTATATTTTATTTGTGTTATTTTTCTAAAGGAGTTATTTTAGTTTTTGTGAATTTTTAGTTGATTTTTATTTTGCAATATGAAAACAATAAGTTTGTCAATGAAGTATTTTACTTATAGTCCCAATAAACAAAAATTAAATTAGGTAAACAAAAATATTTTTAAAATAAAAATAATAAAAGACCGGTTCTAGACCGATTTTTATTTAGGACCGCGGTGGATTTATTTTTTTTAAAGACCGTGGTCCGGTCCGATCCAAGTTTATTGGCCTGGTCCAGCCCAAAAACCGAACCGTGACCTTCACTATCCATAATGATAATATCCTTGCTGCTATTATCCATTCTGCATTCAAATTGAATTGGGCATGGATGAGCAGGCACAAAAAGAATTTTAAAATAAATCATTTTTATAAGAAAACAATTTACTAACACAAAAATATTTATAATTACACCAAAATACCCTCCAAAGATTTAGAAGATATTTTTGGATTTAATAAAATTGATTATCAGGAAGATAATATAATAGACAATTTTTAACAAACATTAAATATATTTGTCAATTTTTTAGAAAATTTAATGCTGTTAAAAGCAAATAAATGATTATAAATACTTTTGATGCATCAATTTCTTTGGTTTAAAAAATATAGACAAAAAAATATGATTTTGTTTTATGTGCTTTTATTATAAAAATTAATATCAAAGGAGCTCGGCGCATTTTTTTTTAATTTGGATCGAGAGCTAGCTCCTTTTTTTAAAAAAAGTAGCGGGAGCTCTTCTTTTGAAATGATAGAAGCAAGAGTAGAAGCTAGCTCCTTTTAAAAAGGAAGTAAACAGCTTTGCTTAGGTCCATACGCATGGATTTGGTGGGGGTGGGGCTGGGGATAATTTTAAAAAATTTAAAATTATTTTAAGAGTTATTTAAAATATCGCATGTTTCAGAAATTTATTTGTATTAGTGACTATATGAAAATTTCTAATACACAAATTCAAATATAAATGAATGAGAAAAAATATAATTAAGAAGCATGTTATAAATTTATAATGTTAAATTTAATCTTTAGGATTCAGTTAATTTTATAATGATTTCATTAGTACCTGGTATCAACTCCATATGTATATCAAGAAGAGCTAAACCCTTCAATTTATTTTTAGAGGCAGTTCTAACTCAATATTTAATCCAGAAAAATATTTTGCAAGCCTTCTATTAGCTAAATTAAATTTTTGTTTTTAATGATTTATTATATTATTTACGGTCAGAGGGAAAAGATTCAAATTAATGCTCTAAGGAAATGATGACACGCAAGTGCAATCCAAATTTAAGAATTTCCCCAAATGATTGTAGTGAGATCAAGTTAAATCATATTTTGAAAATAGTTAGGAAAGTTGGTTGTGTATGTGAGCTGATTATCAAACATAGGTTATGGTAAGCCAAACAAGTCAAAGATTTTTAACCGTGTTCGGAGTTTGGGATCAATTCTTACATTCTATTATTAATTTTTAATAAATTCCGTGCTTCAATTTTTAATATAAATTACTAAGAAACTATGACTAATAATTGATTTTTTACAATATTTTTATAATCTTAGTTTGGCTATGCATCAATTAGAAATACATTTGAGAAAAAAGATTTTTTATTTGGCAGGATGAAACATAGTAAGACCCAAACATTTGTAAATAAATATTTCAGTTATATCACAAAATCATACTAACCGTATAATACATGTAATTTAGTACAATTGAGAAATCGCAACATCCTTTCGATTTATCAACAAGTTAGGTATAGAAATATCGGACATATAATACTGCAAAATAAGCTGGTTCGGAAGTGTTATGAAACTGATGGCAAATAGCATAAATAGGAACAATAGGAAATAATTTAAGATATTTTGGGAACAAGTGTAACACCACCTCATAAACTCATGTTTAGTCGGAGATCTACTTAGAATCAAAGTAAAACTATAAATTACTTCTTATATTAACTAACTAATATTCGAAAAATCATATAAGATTGGAAATAAAATGACTAAAATTAATAAATAAAATAGCATAATATAATCATTGAATAATTAATATAATAAAAGATACAATAAAAATTACAGAATTATGAGCATGTAACGAGTGAGTGTTTTGATAGCCTTGCAACCTTCCTTATTGTTTTATTGTATTTTAAACTTTATTACTGTTATGGAGTAGTTAATTCGATAATGATTAAATTTTTTAAAAATAAATACCTAAAGAGGAAGGGTTTTAGAGCCGCCCTTGATAGCGTAATTGTTATGGGTAACAAGGTTTGTTGGCATCCTCGTAAAAGCCAGACATAAATAAAATCTACCAAAATAAGGGTCTTATTCATATAAGGTGAAACGATGTCTAAATATTCAATAATTATGTTTTAGTAAAGGAAACTTATTGATGTTGATACTGCTGAAGATTATACATATAAATGATAAAATGTGATTTTTTTATTTATTGTAAAAATTATTCTTTTGTGACTAAATCGTTTTTGCTAATTTGCAATATTTTTTCTGACCCAATCGACATAATTAATCACTTTGGTGTATACGCCTGGTCTATCTTTCTTTCCACATCCAATTCCCCATGATACGATGCCTACCAAATCCCAGCGTTTTTCGCCTTCGTCTAAACAGGCTAATGGACCGCCACTGTCTGCCTTTAATATAAAATATATTAAAAATATTAAATTATATCTCAATATTGTTATATCTTCGGAGGGGCCCATGGCATTAACTTAAGGGATTATGGCCAATCACGCTAACGCTTTATTTTACTTACTAACCTATTTTTTTTAAATTAAAGCCAAGTTATTGTGGAGAATTCTTGTTAACTAGTCTGATCCTTATAAACTTCTTAATTGAAAATTATGTTCTTTCGAAAAATGTTAAAGCATAGAGCTAGATAGCTGAAATGGCAAAATCTAATTAATATTAAAAAAAATTATAACACAAAAATTTATTAAAAAATTGGTAATATAATACAAGTGCGGATAGGACATAATAATAAAAAATTTTCTTTTAATATGGGCTTATGAGATGTTTTACAGTATTACAGTGTCTATATGAGAGGTGGGCAGGAGCCATTTGTGTTTATAGGCTCCGGTAGGTAAAATATTTTAAGGGTTAGCAGGTTAAATCTAGGTATGTTTTTATAAAACGTATATATGAATACATATAAATATATTTAGTATTTTCAAAAATGTCCTATATTAGTTGTATGAGATAATTTTATAAATTAAATATTATTCAAAAAAACAGCGCCCAGTGCACCCATATAAGGTATTAAATACTCTTTTCATTTTTGGAAAAGTTAGCCAAAAAAATATTTTACCATTGAAATCAATGCTGTTTTTAACTATTATCATTGCTAAAGAGTCAATTTTTAGAAAATATTTTAGGAGTGGGCAAATTAAAATTTAACCGTATACTGATTATACGTTTTTGCCCCTCATTCAATGATGAAAATATATAAACTATTTATAGAAAGAATCCTCAACCTCTCATTATCGCTCTTTAATTGGCACCTTGCCCAGTTACCTGCTAAATTAGGTAGTATCGACATGATTCCTTTAGAACTATTATACTTATCTTTATTTATTTCAAATCGCATCCTCAATTTAGAGATCTCATCATTTATAACGCCCAATGATGATTTTTAACAGCAGCAATCTAACGTTGGAATCAACTTATCCCAGACCCCAACCGAATCTAACAAATTTACTATTGAACCCCTAATTAAGAACCTACAAAATAGCCTTAATCTAACTGATAAACGATGTACAATTATTACTATCCAACGATAAATACGTAGAGGACGAATGGCTCGCAAACCTTAGATAATCTCTTAACCATTGAACAACTGAAATTTAATATAGGATATAGACTTGGATGCTCACTTACACAACCACACCATGCCACCAATGTATACCCGTGCATCCTAACGCCTGACACAGCCTTAACTGCACCAGTAGTCAAGGTTGACATCTCCGTCATAAAGCAATCAACAAAATCATTCATAACGCAAGGCAAAAATCATCCTCGAACCTTCTAACCTTTCATTACAGGATGGCCTCAGACCCGACGGTTTAACCTGCACCCCTGGTCCAACGACAAATTCCTTATTTGGTACGCAACCAGCGTCTCTTCCTTTCTTTCCTCAATTAATTCTAACCCTCTAACTACCGGGGAAAATAAAAAAATTAATAAATATTCAAAATTCAATAATTTTATATTTCAGCCAATAGTCCAACTTACGCCAATTTTTCCCAATCAACATACCTTTTTTAAAAAATTTTATAGCGGAAAATATTTAAAATAACAAACGAATACCGCGAATCTATATTTCTCAGACAAAAACTTCAACTTGAAACCTTTAAACATAATTATACTTGTTTTTTAGGAACATACTCATTACTAAATTAAGCTCTTTTGAGCCTTCGATACTTATATATATATATTTTTTTTTATTTAGTAAATTTATATATTTTTACAAATAGTTAGTTTTTATAATTTTTAATATTTATATGATGTGTAATATTTTTATTAATAATCAATATTTATTTTTAAAAAATATATATTATATTCAAAATTTAAATATAAATCTATATTAAAATAGAGAGAAAAATATTTAAAAAATATACTAATATATTAAAAAATTTAAAAAAAACGAATAAAAAAATTAAAAAGGAGAATGCTAAGTGAATGATTCGGGCCAAGAATTTTTAAACATTAAATAATTGGACCGAATTATTGTGAGTAATGATTTTCTTAGTTAATAAAAAGGAGAAATATAAGTTTTTTTCCCTTAAAGATTTCGAAACAGTTTTTAAAAGATTCAAAGCGGCTTGCTTAAAGGAGCAGGATGATGTAGCTACATTGTGGACAAAGTGGTAATCACTCATCAGGTAGGTTATTTTTGGCATTTTAAGGGGATCTATGCAAGTAAAATTCCAGATCAAGGGTTTTCCTGATACAAAGGTGACTATAGTTATACCAGCAGGGTGTTTTTTTTATCTATGCAGAATATGGGTTCAAAGAATGAACGGGAGATTTGTCTTATTGAGAAATTTAGCAATAAGTGTGTTTATTTTGTTGTGTAGATTAATTTTTGATATGAATTTGCAATGAATCGTATGGCGCCCAAAACGCCTGCGCTGATTATTTATTTCAAGTGTATTGGTTTAAAAATGGTATGCCCAAGCGCAAACTGATTGCATGACGAAAAGAGTCGAAATTAAACGTTCTAAGGAGGGATTTGTATTGATAACCATCTCTCAAGTTGAGGTAAGCGAAAAAACAAGATAACAATCCTATCCTAGATCCCAGTCTTTTTGCTTTGATGTATCTGGTTGAGGTGTATTTGGCAAGGCATTTATGTTCCAGCAATTTACTTCGTCCTTCAAACTATCATTATCAATCGAAATGATTTGGAAAATAATGTGTTTTACTGATTTTGTAGAAGATATGAAAGAAATAAGAGTAATCATTATCACAGATCTCAGTCCTAAGCCTCCCGATTTGCGTAAGAGTTGTCTAAAGCTATGAGTTAGAATCTAATTAACTCTTGCATTATTCTTATAATGTTTTGTTCGTATTCACTTAAAAGAGATTCAAATGCGAAATCATCTGATGTTTTTAAACAATATTGAATTTGTGGAATTAAAATGGCATTTTTGAGGATAAAATAAACTTGATAGATGAATAATTTATTTAAAACGGGTAGTTTGAGGAATAATGATTGTAGATAATTATTTGAAAATATGAAAACTTCTTCTGTATCTCCTAACGGAGCTCTTATTATAGTAAAATCTCGCAGGGGTAAATTATCTAATGAGGAGTTAGTAGGATGTGGGGATAGATAAATTTCTTATTTTTTGATATTTAAGAATAAATTGAGTTGATCAAAATATGATGTTACTATAACTTAGGCAATAGCTAAATGTGGACTAATTCGACTATGTCTTCAGGCGCATGTCGAAGGCGTTTTAATTTATATTAGTTTCTTTCAAATTTAAGCACGCTGCTATCTTTTTAAGAAAACCCCCAAGGCCAAAGTGATAATTTTCGGCTAAAAACTTAGTTTAGCCGATTTTTTAGGTAGCTAGAAATAGGCTTAAATGGCTAAAAATATTGTAATTCAACTATACAAATAAAATGTTTAAAAGTGTAATAAAAAAGGGGTCTTAAATAATTCTACCTGCTAAAGGCCCCCAGCCGATTAAATAATGAAATCGTTACCTAAGTAAGGAAAGGGTGCCGTAGCTGAGATGGGTATCAGATAATGTTTTTGAGAAGGCATCAATCACATTACTTCTATTAATTGAAAAAGCAATGATATATGTTCATGTTTTACAATATATTCTGGTTACTACTGCGGCTTCACAGTTTCCTTTCACTCTGACCCAAGTTGGTAAGGGGTTAAATTTGAAGCTATAGCCGATTTAATGCGAGTACAAATAGTTTTTGAAATAGCTCGACGGTAGAAGATTCCAACAGCTATTGGACGTATACTTGGTTTTCAGCTGGTACAATTAATCAAGCACCCAAGATTTCTAGGGCAAGACTATGTCAATTTCCTATTGATAATTAAATTAAAATTTTTATTAATGAATTGAGTAAAAATTCAGAAGTGTCCAAATCCATGAAGTCAGTAACAAATGATAGCAGGCGCTAAGACTTCTGCCGAGGATATATTTAAACTTGTATATTTATTATAGGCAGTATTGGTGGTGGGAGGGGGGGGGGTTGAGATATTATGAGTCAAGATGTTTTTCTAAAAGTTAACTTCTCGTGTTTATGCTGTCATTTTGCCAACAAATTTTCATTGCAAAAGCTTGGAGGCTATTATGTATTAGTTTGTGTGAGGAGTTACTTGAAGATTTATTGGCAGGATGTGGTCATAAGTTTTCAAAATTAATGTCAAAATTTTCAATTCTTCATAATGGACTTGCAAAGTGGGGTTGAATTACCCTTTGGAGTATTTGATAATACTAAAGTTGGGAAAAAGAAAAAAATTTCCAATTTTGATCTTCTAGGTTTTGTATAATTTTGCTATGGGATTTGATGTAGACAGGTAAATTAGTTTAAAAGCAGCTTTTGAGATTTGTGTTGTGTAATAATAGGCATAAAGTTGGATGTTAAAAATTTGAGACAATCTAAGTCAGAAATAGGCTAATTTTAATATGTGGCAATTCCCTGGTTGAGTCAACTTGTTGAGTATCAAATAACTGGTAATCATTTGAAAATGAAATCAAATCAATGTCAATAGAGTAATAAAAGGACTAATAATTAGCTATTTAGAAAACTACCATGGATTAAATTATATCGTTTTCTTACATTTTAAAATTATCACTAAATATATAATCAATAACAATTTATTACTTTTAAATAATAATTACAAATTTATTATATTTTCTCCAAACATTTTTAAGTTAGATTTCCTCAATAAACCTCTTTGTGAGTTTACGGTTTATTGATGAACAGCTTAATGTAGTATTTGTATTATTTCTGTTACTTCCGATCAACTTTCATGAGTCGGAATAATTAAACGATCTCTTAGCTGATCTGCGTGTTTCTGCAATGTTCTTTCGGGAATTTCAAAAATATAAATATATAACCCTGTCCTTTCTTTAATAACTCTCTTTCACCAACCTTTGGTGTTCTCATTATTCAACCACATAGGTGCGAAATTTCGAATTCTCTCCCTTTCAAATGTAAATCATGATTTTGACTTTGTCTTTCATTTGTCTTTTTAATTTCATGTTCTATATTCGGTCTTATTCAGTCTAAACTAGTTTTCAATTGTCTTCCAAACATAATCTCTTCCCGTAGATCTATGTTCCTTCAATCTATAGGTTGTTAAAACCTTTATCAAAGCTTCTTCTAGATCAGAAATCGAGACTCTCGTTGCGTAAATTCAACCTTTTAAAGTTCGTATTGTACGCTCAACTTATCCATTAGTTTTAGGATGATAGGGTGTCTAACGTATATTATTTAATTCACAGTACCGACGGAATTCCCAAATATGAATTGTGGTCCATTGTCTGACGCTATGTTCTTAGGTATTCCAAACTTAGCAAACCATTTTTTTAATAGCTTAATCATAGCCTCATCAGAGGTATTCTGCAATAGATCAACTACTAGCCATTTGGAATAGGAATTGGCACCAATTAGCCAATATCGCGAATCCATTGGTTCAACAAAATCAATATGGATTAGCTCCCAAGATTCCTTACCTATAGTCCAAGAATACAGAGATAATTCTTGAACTCAAAGATTTTTCTGGCATCAAGAGCATATTTTGATAAAATATTCTATATCAATATCCCATCTGGGCCACCAACAATACAATCTAAAAATAGATTTCAATACATTTTCCCAAGTATTGAACCATTCCTAACACTGCGTTTCTAAATTTATTAGGAATAACCAACCTCCCATTTCATTCTATAATATCACGATCAGCAAAAAGCTCTTCCAGTCGATTATATAAATTAACAATTTCTTTATCTTTATGATGATCAAAGTTTTGCCAACTTTGCTGAATATGCATTTATTTTTTTAATATTAAATTTTGCTTCGACTTTTTTCGTAGAATATTTTCTGACAATTGCATGTCATCCAAATTAATACTTCGAATCTCCAAAGCATGTTTAGAATCTTGAATCTCTTCCATGTCTAATATCAGAAGCCTTGATAATGCGTCGACAATTACATTTTTACTACCAGGTCTATATTCTATAAAATCATAAGATGCTATCTTCCGGCCCAACGTGTCAACGATTATTAGAATTTTAGGTAGATCGCGTTTCTCCCCAAATAATCGTTCTAATGGTTTGTGTTAAAAATTCTCTATCATAAATAAATGAAATTTTTCAATACTAAATAAAAGTGCTTGAGCTTCTTTAACAATCGGAGCGTAGTGTTTCTCTGATTCTAATAAAGTACGTGACCCTAACGAAATAGGTTTTATCCTTCAGTGTACTAATTGGTGTAACAACATAGCCCCTAATCCTGAATCAGATGCATCGCATTTCAAAATTATTGGCGCCTGCGCGTTATAAGGAATTACAATAATTTTTTAACCTCATCGAAGGAATTTTGTTCATCTTTCGTCTACAACCAAATTACTTTCACTCTCGTTAATCTATGTAATAGGGCTGCTTTACTATGTAGATTACTAGTAAAACGTACTTCACAAGTCTTAGAAAAGATCAGTGTTGTATATTCTTGGGTTTTGGGGAATTTCGGCACCTTTTCTGGATTAGGATATATACCGAATTTATCAATAATTACCCCTAAAAATAATACCGATTTTTGTAAAAATCTAAATATCGTCAATTTTGCCTTTAGACCAACCATCTGTAATCTTTCTAACACGATTCACAATTTTTTTTATGTGCTACTCATCGTTTCGACTAGAAATAATTACGTCATCTAGGTAGATACCAGTCATTTGGCAATTACCAATTCATCCATATAGAAAAAGGTTACCCCAGTTGTGTTGATTATTACCATATGTAGGGGTCCATGATTCAATCCTAAAGTTGACTTGGGACTTCAATTTAGGAATGCCAGTCAAGTTATGATTAAACAAGTGGACTATTCGGTCAACGCTAATTGATAAAAAAAATGTGATGTGTTAATTTTAAAATATAATAAAACGATATAATTTAATTCGTGATAGTTTTCTAAATAACTAATTATTAGTCGTTTTATTAGTGGTGCGAGGTGACGACTCCTTAAATGGAGAAAATAATTCCTTAAATGGAGATTCAGAAAATTTGGCAGATAAAAGAAAATTGGCGGACTTATCTACTATTAAATTTGATGAATTCGATGGAGATAGTTCGATATATCGTTATTTTTCTCAATGGGAGATTAGTTTTCCGTTAAAATACGTAATACTGAATGCCAATATAAAGATATATTTTTAACATGTTTTGGTAATAAGAATATTGAGTTGGTGGACCTCTTGTTATCCTGATTCGATTGAAACTTTATATTTTAAGGAAATTATGTCAATATTTTTACATTAATTAAACAGACGTCAACAACTTTTGCTTCTAGATTTGATATCGTTAGACTACGGAGAACAACTGAAACCATAACTGAATTTGCATATAAAATTAGAACAATTGGCAATCGTTGTCAATATCTTAATGATATTGAAGAGAGTTTACTTGATCAGTTTATGGTTGTCATGAAAATGCCGGGATTGAAAAGAGATCTTAGGACTCTATATTTCGACGGTCTTGATAGAGAAACAATGTCCGGCATTTCCCTGCCAACCATAAACTGATCACGTAATGATATCGACAACGCTTGCCAATTGTTCTAATTTTATATGCAAATTCAGTTATGGTTCCAGTTGTTTTATGTAGTCTAATGAAATCAAATCTAGAAGCAAAATTTGTTGACGTACATATTGACTTAATTTCCTTAAATGATAAAGTTTCAATCGAATCAGGATAACAAGAATGGTCAACCAACTCAATATTCTTATTGCCGAGACATGTTTAAAATATATCTTTATATTTACATTCAGTAGGGCTTACATATTTTAACCAAAAACTAGCCTCCCATTGAGAAAAAAAACGATATATCGAAATTTCTCTATCGAATTTACCAAATTTAATAGTCGATAAGTCCGCCAATTTTCTTTTATCTGCCATATTTTATGAATTTCCATTAAAAAAATTATTTTCCCCATTTAAGGAATGCCACCTGTCACCATTAATAAAACGATTAATAATTAGCTATTTAGAAATCTACCAAGGACTAAATCATATCGTTTTATTATATTTTATAATAAATACAAATTTATTACAACTAGAAAATTTATTACAACTAGGTTACATAAGATATTTTAATAGGTATTAGTCAACAATTTTATCATCTTATTTTAAGAAGATGACATAATTTCATTGGTTTTGTAGTAAAAATAATAGTACTATTATCGGATTCCAGAATAAATTATCAACTTTAATTTTTAATATGTTTCTATGCAGGATAAGGGTTTTGCATATGATTAATATACATAATCAGTGGCGTTACTAGACTTTACAATCTCAGGGGGTTACCCTTTTTTTTAGCTAACATTATCTAAAATTACCTTTAGATAACATTATCTATAATTACCTTCTTTATTTTAGTGGTATAAAAAAATTCCAAATTTTAGAGGCTCTTCAATTTTTCAGGAAGCTAGAGCTCATGTGCCCCCCCCCCAGTCTCTAGTATGCTACTGTACTCAATAACTTAATTGATCTCTAATTTTGTTGTTTCAAAAATATTGTACTATAATCATGAAATAAAATATAAATTATCTGCTGATTTTGGATTTTAGCTATATTTTAAAAGTTATCAATTATATGAAATGATAGGTTTGTTGTCTCAAAAATATCATTGTAATATAATCATGATATGATAATATAAGTTATCGCTGATTTTGTAATTATAGTTATATACTTTAAAAGTTATCGAATATATGAAAAATGTATTCTAAAAGCATGAACCTTTATCATAATAATGTGAAAGTATTGTTGTAGCTAAAATAAAAATTTAAGTTACTTATCTATATAACTAGTACTTTAAATAAAATATTAAAATAAAATTAAGCTTTCGATTTACCTTCATGACTAGATTGAAACATGTCATAAATAAAAATCTTAAAATCATTCAATAATAAAAAATACCTTTTAACCATTATATGATAATTTACAAAGTATATTTATTGTTTCTATTCGGCAAAATATAGCACATTCTTAGTAAATTAAAATGAAATAAACCCACCACACAAGCGTCTTTATTGACTTCACCGCCGGCACATAACATGTTAGATGACAATCTATGGTTCATATAATCTTTGCTGTTACAGTGATCGAAGTCTAAAATAGCCAGATTTAATTCATTGAGAACAGATTCTTTTCCTTTACCTTTGATAACAATAAGTAGAAATTAATTTGAAAGCAATTTTAAATTGAAATTAACAAGTATTTGTAATAACATTACCTTTTTTAGAGCATATAAATGATGATTTTATTTTTTATTTTAAAAATATTATAAATAAGGACAGGTTAGGCGTTACATTTATAAGCGTTAAAAAAATCACAGATTTTGAAAATTTTGCATTTGTTGATCTGCTTTAAATCAACAGAAAACGTCAATTTTCAAACTGATCCCTTTATTTTTATAGATTTTATATAATGATTGTATATATAAATTGGATGCATGCAGCGAAAATTTTAGGGCGAAATAAATTATTGCGAATGCATTACCGCGAATGTCGATTACCGCAAAAAGTTGTTATAGCAAATGCATTAGCGCGAATATAATATGGCGAAAGTGTTATTGCGAATGTATTATAGCCATTGCATTACAGCAAATATATTACCCCGAAGTATTATCGCAAATGCATTGCAGCAAATGTATTACCGCGTAATCATTATAGCGAATGCATTCTCGCGAAAAGATTAGAGCGAATACTTTATCGCGAATGTATTATCGCGAACATTATCGTGAATGTATCTCAGATGACTATAGAGCTAGAAAAAAAAATCATTAAAAATTTTAAATATTTTTTAAAATTGATAAAATGTCATATTTTGTCATTTTTATATAAATTATTTATATACAAATGGTGTATTATAACAATAAAACTTAGTATATAAAAATGAAATAATAATATTAATTATCCTATAGGAGACTTAAAAAACCAATAGAATTTGCAAGCCCCGGATTTAAGGCTTGTTATGGGAAAAATTCACCTTTACTAGAATCAGTCTTGAGAAAAATCTATAAAATATTAAAAATATTTATTAATGTAAAATTTAAATACAACAATTATTTTCAGGCTGAGAAAAATCTATAAAATTTAAAATATTTATTAATGTAAAATTCAAATACAACAATTATTTTCAGGCTTATGATAATTTTGACAAAAATTGTGCTTACCTTTGGTCTCTACTATTGGATGAAAGTTTATCATGAGATCAAAAATTTAAATTATTCATCGAGTGGCTAAAATAACGTGGCGTTTTGAAATCTTTACAACTGAAATGCGTTATTAGTTTTTTTATGAAATTTTATATTCTGTTGTGTATCTCAATATTCTCAAAATATATATTTAAAATTTTATCTCGGTTTTCGGAAAATTAAGATAAAAAAAATGTAGTCTGACCTCGCCTTTTTAAAAGTTTCTCCTAAATTATAAATTAAAACACAAAATATTTTGGTATTATCAAACAAATCTCATTATTAAATGCTATTAACAATTAGGCCTACCAAATTGTCTATTCGAATCGAATAATAGAGATTCGTATTCATACATATAATAAAATCATTATTCGATTCGATTAGTTGAATATTCAATTCGATTCGAAAATTTTTCTAAAGCTTATAAAAAAGAAATTATATTTTGCAAAAAAAATTATAAACAGATGTGGATGTTTTAAAATGACACTTTTAAGGATTCTCTAAACTAATTGTCATTAGCATATCAAAATTTACAGAAAATAAACGAAATAAATCCCAATGATTTCATATAACGTTTTCCAAACAAATTGATCAAAAACACCCGATTTTTGAATTAAGAAAAATTTATAAAAATATCTAAATTATTTCATCAATCTAATATTAAAATTTTATTAAAATTTTTAAAAATGTACATTGATTTCATTTTATAATCATCAAAATATAATACAGAAAAAATATAATTATGCTAGATCCGAATTTGACAATAACCAATTTTCAAGCATAAAGTCTTTCTAATGGTTTCTTCCTTATTCATTATTATATTTATACCTATTGAGAATAACCTCTCACATGAAACCGAAGATCCCTGAATGGATAATATATCCGTTGCCATTTTCGACAACACGAGAAAACGATCCCCATGCAATCTCCACCATTCTAGCGGGCTCTTATTAGAAGTGATGCTTAATTTATTAAGATATGTTTCAACCTCACATACTGATGAGATGATATTTTGTTTAAAAATTCTATCCATATTTGATTGTACTATTAAGTTAATTGTTGTTGTATCGATATTATATTATACCTTGCAATCAATATATATATACCCTTAAATTTTTGTAATAGATTTGTTGTATCTATGTTATATGACGCAAGTAATTGTTCAAAAAATTGCACTTTTACTCTAGGATCTTATATGGTTAATATTATGGTTTCAATATTTGTTTGGTTATATTAATTTTCTATTTTGTTAATAGCATTGATAGTTTTTATGAAATCGCGGCCAAATGAATTTATATGTTCTAATAAAGAAACATAAAAAGGGATGCCAAGATTTAAAGTAGGATATAAAATCAAAAAAGGTCTTTAATTTGTTTTGTATAGTTATTAAAGTCCTCCTATAAAATTAATTCATCTGCCAGGAGTAAAATAATATGGGAGACACTCCAGAAAAATGTTTTGACTTTTACATAACACCAAAAATGATTGAAGAGATTATTTATCATACCAATGAAAAAATTAAAATTATAAGTAATAACTATACTGACCAATATGAAAGTTCTACTAAAGAAGTTGGTGCAATAGAATTCAAGGCAATTGGGAATTATATATTTAGCTGGAATTTTTAAATCTAACCATCAAAATAAAATAATTATATTTATTAGTTAACTTTGTTGGGGAGTTTCCCTTTCATCAGAAAATATAACTTATGATATGATTTATGAATATATAAAAAATAGGAAATAAAATAAGGTAAAATGAAATGATATTCATTAGGAAAATTTAATTCCTTCTTTTTTATTATTTACTTACGATTTACGAATATTAACGAAAAAATTAAATATTTACAAAAAATTAAATATTTATAAATAAATAATTTCGAATAATTTCGATTATATGAATAATACAAATAATTCGAATCGAATAATCAAAAGTTTACTATTCGACGAAATTTTTCCTCATTATTCATATTCGATTCGAAATTTCGAATCTAATAATTGTGCTATTCCTATTACTAAAATACGAACTGAATTGAATTTCGAATAACATATAATTCGTTTTAGGCCTATTAACAATGTAAAACCCTATACGATAATTTTTTAAATAAAAAAATTTTATCAAGAGAAGATCTGATAATGATAAGATTATACCATGAGAGGAAAAATTGAAATGCTCCAAGTTTAATTGCTAAATTCCCTAGGAATAAGTGGAATATTCATCAAGTTCAATGAGCTTTAAAGAGACCTCAAAAAATTGATTTCATATACTGGAGAATTATTAGCCTACTACCTTTTTAATCTTGCAAACTTGAAAGAAAAATTGGTAAAATATGGCCCTTAAATTCGTAAGAAATAGTCAAATTGACGTTGATTGTTAGGTGTTATAGAAGAAAAAGGGAATAGATTAACATATTACATTAATTATATTTATTATTTAAATAATTCTATAAGATCTCAAAGTATGCTTTGTGCTCTGCATTATAATTTAGAAATAAATTTGAAAAAAAGCAAGTCCTACTATAGACTAGTATAATGGGAACCTGTCTGACAATTTATTAATAAATAAAAAATGAGGGTTAGTTATTTTTTGTCAAATATTTGTATTTCAAATTTTCTAAAAAACGACTTAATCTAATTATTAAAAAAATTGAGGATACTAAATTCTTAATATTTTTAAAATAAAATACGAACTTTCATAAATAGCAAGTGACGTATTTAAGAGTTATAAAGATTTTAAAACGCTACGTTATAAATATGGAAACATTAATTAAGCTCGTTCTCTAGTTTCTCTAGTTTTTTGGAAAAGATTTGAACTTGCTAAATAGGTAAGAATATAGGAGAAGAGAATCTAAATAATTTCCTTAACGAAATAGAATTAAAGGTACCAAACTTATAGTTTCCGAAATATTTAAAAAAATATATAAATTAATGAAGAACTCCTTATCATAAAATAAATGGACAAGTAGCAAAGGTATTTTAAAAATTTATATTAATTATATCAACCATTTGTAAAATATAAATCACTATTGCATTCACTGTAATGCATTCGCTATAATGCATTCGCTATAATGCATTCGCTATAATGCATTCGCTATAATGCATTCGCTATAATGCATTCGCTATAATTCTTCGCGGTACCACATTCGTTATAAAGCATTTGAGGTAATATATTCGCTATAATGCACTCGCCACAATGCATACGCATTATTATTTACGATGTAATGCATTCGCGATATTAATTTTGCGGTAATAGATTTTTTCTAATAGATTCACTTTAAGGCATTTGTGGTAATGTTTTCACTATAATGCATTCGTTATATTGTTTAAGCGATAATTCATTGGCGACAAAGCATTCGAGGTAATGCATTTGCGATATTACATTTCGCGGAAAAAATTTTGCATTGATGATGTGATACGATATAACTATGTAAACTACAATATTTTACCCTGTATTGCATGGACCTACTAATAACATAAACCAATCTGTTTTTGTATGGTCTAACCCGAAGATCGCTAGTAAAAGAATAGATTGGGCTCAGCCAGTTAGTATTTTTCTCTTTAAATGTTATTAAGGGTCCGGCTGGAAAATTTTGAGGGGGACATGAGCAAAATGTTTTTTTAGATGGATTGAAAATTTTTCTAAATGGATAGGCTCGGGCTAGGCCGTTGATTTTTAGCAGTAAAGTAACAAAAAAATATTTTATTTAATCATTATAGTAAATTACCTCGGACATCTCCAAAACCGGTTACATAACACAACGAGTATGTCAAAATTGTGGTTTTATTAGAAATTAAGCATATGGGTGATACAAACTTATTGAAATCTACTGGTTTATCCATTTTGATTAGAACTATATCATGGTCATACCTTTTGCCTTAAAAATATAGTTAATTTTTATTTTTTTTATAAATGAAATATAAAAAAATGAAATTAAAATTTTGAAAATAATAAATTTATTAAAAAGATCGGAAATCTAACATTTAAAACCAATATTTTAAATATAATTTTAAAAATTAATTAAATTATATATAAGTTATCATATATGCAGTTTAATGTTATTTTAATTACTTTATAAAATTTAGATTTTTAAGAAAAAGGAAAAAGACAATAGTGTTTTATGTTTTTCAAAACTTAAATTTTTTTTCCATTTCTCTTTATTATCAAATTAATATATTTTTTATTCAATTATTTTGTACATTTTATTCAATAATATTTGCTTACCTAAAATTTGGGAATTCATCTGGGTTAAAAAAATGGATAATAATACAATAATCAATGCATTGGAATAATTATTCTGGGGGAAGGAGGATAGTTTCTCAAGATTCGAATAAAGCTCACCAGGGGCGTTAAAGGGTAGCAAAAATGTAGTGGAAATGGCAAAAACAAGGCCTATAACGAGATGGAAAATTGAACTTGAAAGGAGGAGATAAAGTAATTTAAAAATTGGCAAAAGGCAGGGGTAAAAAACGAGTGGAAGGATCATGCAGCGTTAGAGAGGAAGATAACATAAGTCTGAAACGGCAGCATGAGGGGATCGAAATTTGGCAAAATACTTTTAAAGTCTTCTAAACGTTAGAAATCTATGAGATCCATTAAGTTCCAATTCCAAGGTTTACCAACATGATTGGCTGTTATACCGTTAATAAAGTAAAGTCTGAAATTCAAAAGATAAAAGGCAAAACTATGGTATAAGAGGGTTATGTGCAATTATTTTATGTTTGTACGAATTTCACTTTACTGAGAAATGCGATCAGAGACTCAAAGCCGTTTTCCATATATGTTGGGCTATATCAAGGGTCAGAGTTAAGCCCTTTCTCTTCATACTAATCCTCTATACTATAACTTAGGACATGCAAAGGCCTACACCATGATCAAGGATATATGTAGATGACTTTGTGATATGTGAGGAAACCAAAGTGATGGCAGCTCAACGGACTAAGTGTTTGGACAGTTAGGATAGCGAAACATGACCCCCGCGTCAGCTTTTCAAAGATAGTGTATCTGGCAACCATCGTTGCTGGCCGATCGATGTAAAGGAACTATGAAACTACTCCATCTTCGAAAGTTGGAAGAGTTAAGCTCTCTTGGGTCTAAGATACATTAAGAGGATTTGTCATGAGAAATCAACCCCAGGATGCAGAAAAGTTAGAAAAAATGAAGAGTCTACCAGAGGGTGCTTTGAGACAGGAAGATACCAATGTGGCTTAGAGGTAAGGTCTATCAAACTATCGTAAGACTAGTATTGTTGTATTGTGAAGCTAGGACATTACGACCATCCGAAAAGAGGATGTTGGATTTAACTAAAAGGCGAATAATCCGATGGAGCCAAGATATGATCGATGATATCCTAAGAAAGAAGATGAGGATACCTTTCTTGTCGTGAAAGATAAAAGAGCAGACTGAGATGTTATGGATATAATGTGCGAATGACCTACTTATTTAACGTGAATCGGCCTTTTCTCAATCTTGAAGTTACAGGCCATCAAATTAGATGCAGGTCACGAATAATTTTGATTTATCAAATCTGCAAGGACATGTTGGATAAGAAAATTGTTATTAATATGGCCTAAATCCGAGCCATATGGAAGGATAAGAGGCGTTTTAAAGACCCTTACTAGTTTTGGGTTTAGTTTGATGAAGAAGGAAGAAGACTTACCTTTCCTCCTACATTTATTTCTGAACTTTAAAATTATATGTTAATTACAATAAATATGAACTATTATATTTCTTTTTCTCCTTAATTTATATCATGATATTGTATGAAATTTGATATAGCATTATATCATAGGCGTAGCCATGGAGGGGAGATAAGAGAAATTTCACCCTTCAGAAATTGCCCTATTCTCTTGAATATCATTTTAAGCTAATAAAATAATTCTACCCTTCCCCCATTTGCCTCCATTCTTCTCTCCCCCCAAAATCTATACAATATATCACTATAAACATTTGTGAGAAAAAAATAAGCAAAAGTTAATAATTTTTAAGATAATTTACTATAATTCAAAATTTTTAAAATGTAGCATAGCCAAAGGCCTGCAATATGTGAACTTAAAGACGTCCAATAGTGGGGAAAATCCCAGCCCTAAAACTCCGTCCTTCCCCCACCCCTAGTAAAATCCTGGATAGGCCTATGATTATATTATATAAGATGATTTTATTTGACTAAATATAAATGTTCCTCTTGTAATATTCTTTCCATTAAAAATATGTAAGTGAGCACATCATCATAATTAGCCTTTGGAGTAAGTAGCACTTTTTTTTTCTTTGATCAATTTTTTATGAAATTTAATAAGACACTAACATTAATAGAGTTTCAAACGAAAGGTAAAATAAAGGCAGGCCAAATGATCAATATTGATAAATTGCTTCACTCGATATTCCTAACGGCTTCTTCGAGATTTCAGCCATAACAAGTCATAAACATCTTCCTTATTATATACTCTTCCATCAAATCATTTGTTTTCATAATTACAAGATATTAACTAGATATATAGATTAGAGCCATGTAAGAACCTGTCCATTTCTGAGATAAGTCTAAGTTTGGTCCATCAAAAGTAAGATTAGACCAGGTCAAACTTTTTAACACAGATTAGAAAGGAATCTGCCTTATTTAATATTTTAACTTACAATTGTTTGGAAAACGAAACAAAAAAAATCTAAGATCGGTTTGGACCTGCAAAAAAATCTTGAGGCAAATGTTATCCAAAACCTTCCCCTCATATTTATTAAAAATTAAATTAACAACCTATCTAATACATATAATAATGTTATACCTTGATTCCTATTCCTATCTACTTAACTGATTAATAATATTATTTAAAGGTTGTGATAGATCTCTTATTAATCATTTTAAAAGCGCCAAAATGGGTGGGGGCGAAGTGCCTAGCATCTTCACATTGAAAAATTGGCAACTTTTAAATTTTATATTTTCATGCTTCCTAAATTTGATTTAAAAAAATTTGGATGAATCTAAAGTTACTAAACTATTTAATATCACTTATAACTAAATAAAAAATGTAATTTAGTCTTTTCAACACTTTTGTCAACACCCCATATATAAAAATAAATCTTTTGTATCCCTAAATAAATAGGCCAGTGATGCCTCTGTTTTTACTTAAGCTATAATCTTTGTGATAAATAACATCCTCTATTCTTCTAATTTGTTCATTTTCATGTTTTTGTCTTTCCACTACTGTCGTTCCCAAATGAATCGTAAATCGTGTATAGTCAAATGATCTTGAAAAATATATATTTATTTGAAATAAATATACCTTTAAAAGGTTAAAAATATTGTCAATATTTTTACAATAATCCAGGATTTTGGTAAATATAAGTATGTTAGAAAGTCTTATTGTATATAATATTTGTTAAAAAGTATATTTTATTAATTTTGAATGAATATCGAAAAGAAATATTATAACCCATAGATAAATTTTAACATTTACAAAGTCTGCCAGTTTATGATAAAGGGTTTAAAGTTCTATCACATTTAATTGCTAAAAGCATTCATCTGCTATTCTATAATTATTATTAATATTTTTTTAAGTGGTAAGCTTAAAAACATATTTAAAAACATATTTAATTCAATTGGTTTCGGTTGTGAAAATTTAGTGGTAATAGTACTAATCATATTGGTTAATCACTAAATTAAAATTTCCAAGCTCAATTCTTATAAAATTTTATTTACGTTATTTCTAAGTTATATGTGTTTTCTTTGTACATATGGCCCTCTATACCAACTTGTGGATTTTCAAACACTAAACTAACTTACTGTGAAGCTCCTCGTATGGGGTACTACCTATTTTTTATCTAATTTGCTGGACTTATCATTCCTCTTTTGTATACAACATTAGAAGGAAATGTGCCTAAATCACGTGTCATTAAATTTTTTCAAATTGAATTGAACTATATAAGGATGAATACTCCTCCTGTAGCTAATTCTAAACAGTGGCATCACTAGCCTTTAATATCTCAGGGGACTCAACTTTTTAAAAAAATTAGATTCTTTTTTTAGATTATGACTCTTTGTATGTATAAAAAAATTCCCAAATTTTAAGGGAGCTCTTCAAATTTTCTACAAGCTCGAGACCCAGTGTGCTCTCTCCCTCCAGACGCCACTGATTCTGATATAACATGATAAAGACATTTTCACTATAAGAACATTTGAAAAATATCAATTAGTATGGAAAACGGTTCACGAAATTATATAAAAAGGTTAAAAAGTTCTCAAGAAAAAACGATTCTACATCTACTTACAAAAAATGGTCGGCATTTAGTGACAATTAAGATAGATGGTAGATTGCTTAGTGGGTGAATATAAACTGTTAAACCTTAATGAAATAGAATCTAAGTAAAACTCTAGAATTGGCAGAACTGTTTCAAAAGTGCAATAAAGAATTGCATGCAATTTATCAATATTAGTTCTCTATAAAGTATGCATATTTATAATATCTTTTATAGGTTACTTATTTTTATTTCTTAAGACCAATAAAACCGCTATCAAGCCTCCAAAAGCAAAAAAAGACTAATATGGAAAAAGGATAAAATCTGTGATGTATTACTCTGGTCTAACGTTTTTCAGCGATGAATCATTATTTGTTTTGGAATGTTCAAAGGCAAAATCTTTGATATGAAAGAAAAAAAAAACCCTAATTTGAATTTTATTTTTTAAATTCCCATCAAACTTCATAGCTTGGAGGGTGAGAAAAAAAATTCTAAGGAAATATCTGTAAAATCAATGAAATTATAAATTAATTAGAATATCAGATTTTATTATTAATTAAATCATTCAAAATTGGTGCTGTAAATGTTACTTCAAACAAGAAACGAAAGAATGCCTTACCATTGCTCGCTACCTTGTGAAAATAGGAACGCGCATTATTGGCTATTCAAAAAAGTAACGCGTTAGGCGTTACTCACTTAAAAAATTTAATTTTATATACAAATACAAAAAAAATAAATTTTTCTCCTACATATAATATAAATAAAATATAAAATTATGCAAAAAATAATATATTATAAAATAAGATCATTTTATAATTTGTTTTCCTATAATATAAAAATAATTTATTAAAAGTAGTGTTAAAGTAACTAGTTACTGACAACTGGTTACATTTTTACAAAAAAAATAACTTTAACTAGTTACATTGAAAATTTATAAATAATAACTATAACTAGTTATATTTTTTGGTATGTAACTGCTAAAAGTAACTAGTTTTTTAAAATAATAATATATATATTGTTATATATATATTCAAATATATAATTAATTTTATAGTGAATTAATTTTAAATTAAAATTATTAATTAAAAATTTTGATTTAAATATATGATTCTGTATACGGGTCTTTTTATATAGTTAATATTGAATCAGACAGATACAGAATTAAGCCGTAGCCTGGATTTTGAGAGCGGGTAAGCACTATTATGTGGTATTAGCCCCATAAATTTTAGTGGTAGGTCCATCTATTGTAAGCCTTTGGCTATGTTGTATTTTTATAAAAATAATTTTGGGTTTTCAGTCTTTTTTTTTAAATTGTGAATTATAGTTGTTATTTAAAAAATGCCGTTTGTTTAATAACACTATGCCTTCAAGAAGAAACTTTATATTTCAGCATCTAAGTCTTCCACAGCCAAGCTTTGGAAACACATCTCTGTAAGATTATTTTAACATAACTTCTCTTTAATAATTGTACAAAATTAGTTAGATGTACATGTAACAAGATTTTTGTTTAGCTAAATGTTATATAGAATTATCACTTAAATTAAACTAACTTAACTAAATAACTTTGACTACCTTTCTAGACACTGAATATGTTTTTGTCATGCATTAAATTTAATAGGAACACAAAATACCAACAAGATCCTTCTAGAAAATGATTATTATAAAAAATCATATAACATTGCCATATCAAAATGCTAACCTATGTGGAATTTACAAAATAAATCTGCGCCATCATCTTAACTAATTAAAAGAGGAATTATTACTTTTTATTAAATATAATGTTGTCTTTTCACCAAGTCCTCCCGTAGGACTTTTTCTCTGTCTAGAGAGGCTTCTATTTGAAGAGGAACAATAAGCGCGTCCTTTTGGAAAGAAATTTTGAAAATAATTTATTGCTAAAGGCAAATAAATAAAATTTACAATTAGTGCAAATATACATAATATTCTTTTATTTTATTTCGGTGCAAAAATATTCTACTCTCCTCATTTTTTTTCAGTTATAATTATATTTTTATATAAATAAATTGTATATTTACTTTTAAATACCTTTGATTAAGATTTGTAAATCTTAGATATTTTTGTATTAAATAAAAAAATGAATCGTTAGATAAATGATTTATAAAGACTTATATACTTTTGAAATAAAACCATAACTAGTAACTAGTTACACTATAAAAATATAACTAGTAACTGTAACCAGTTACTTTTTATGAATGTAACTAGTAACTGCAACTAGCGTTTCAAAAGTAACTTTTAATAACACTAATTATAAGATAAGCTATGTTTGTAATAAATTTTTATTTATTTTTAACAACAATTGATTTTCAAATTTTAAATTTCGCTGTGCTTACACAAGTTAAACTCACGCAGAGGTTGGGAGGGTGTATTATATTTAATAAATAAATAAAAATTAAAGAATAATCTTTATTTTGAAAAAAGTTTCTTCAAAAGAATCTTCATTCAGATCCTCATTCAATTTTTTTTATCTTTATCATAAAATAAACTGTGTGTGTGTGTTTTTTTTTTAAAGGAATCAAGTCTGCCTTTTTTATCAAAATCTTCTCTCAAACAGGAAATAAGTTCAAGCTTCCTTCCTTCGTTGACATCTAATTTTACCAGGGTCAATCTGATTTAAATAGCGAGTGAATTATTGCTGATAATATATATATATCTTTATAGATGTGTCCTCATCTATTGAAATAAATAATCATCAAAATATATATTGTAAAAAATGAAATTATTCAAAACCATTTTTTTAATTTTTAATATTATAATAGTTATCATGTGGGAGCAGGGTTGCCATGTCTCCCCCCATCAGTGGGAGTCTCCCACAATTTTTTTGTTTACCCACATACATCTCACTCCCACAAAACTCCCACAATTAGAAATCTCCCACAAAAAGCTCCCACAAAAAGCTCCCACAATTTTTTAATTTCTCCCACAATTTTTTTTTAGCATTTTAATGTTTTTAATATATAAATAATAATTTTGAGAGACAGTATTTGATTATTTTTATATTTTTAAAATAAATTTTAAATATAATATGTCTAGTTCTTCTTCTTTTATTTTATTTTTCCGCTCTAAAATATATTTTTTATAAAATTCTCCAATTCTCCACTCGACATTTTCAAAATTTTTGTGTTAGAAAGAATAGAAGTTAGAACAGTATGTATAATTATTATAAATATATTTTAAATTACTTAATATATTTTATATCGTTATCTAGAATTGCAGTGCTCCACTCGACATTTTCAAAATTTTTGTATTAGAAGAATAGAACTTTTAGAAGTGGATATTATATCCCATATACCAAACAGATTTAAGTAATAAAATGTTCTATTTTGCTAAAAAAAAATTTCGAGGATGAAATGTCAGAAGCATATTTGGGATTAGTTTCACATGAAGGAAATCTACTTCATGTACTTAATATTCAGTTGCAATCAGAAGATTCTTTATTGATAAAGATTCACAAAATCATGCTACAGCTCTGTTCATCTCTACAGTTAAAAATAGATAATAAATTTTATGGCGCTATTGCTAAAAATATCATATTAAAATATTCAAATATTACTATAATTAACGTATTTTTAAATGAAGCAAATATTTTTATTAAGACAATTTTGGAATATTTACAATCAAGATTTGATTTTAATAACTCTATTTACAAGTGTATAAATATTATGAACTTGGAACAGATATTAAAATTACCGATAGACATTGAAGCCTTGTTTGAAGAGATTGTAATTTTTTCCATTTTTATGATTCGCCAGAATATTAGATGGTCTAAAAGCAGAGGAGAAATGGGTGGAATTTTTTCGTAATAACGATAAATCCCCATGCTTGGAAAAAATTTGCGAGTATGTTTTCTCCTTACCTCATTCTAATGCCTCATCGGAGCGCATTTTTAGCCTGATGAGGACTGCCTGGAGAAAGGAGAGAAATCGAATTGCTTTAACAACATTAGAGGCTGAGTTAATGGTTAAACAAAATTAATAAATGTCATGCCAGGAATTTTATAAATATCTTAATAACGACGGTAAACGTTTAGTTCCATTATTTAAATCTCAAATAAAATATAATTAACTATAACTATTTGACTTTCTATATTTTATAAAATCTTATTTATACATTTGCATAAAATCAAATAAATTTATTTTTTACATTGTAAAATTTTTTTTTATAATAAATTTAATATATTTAAAAATGTTTGAAAAATATATAATAATACTATTAAAAAAAAGAACGGAGATGGTGTGATGCAGGGAAACAAAAATGAAAAAGGGACGTAAGCGTTGTCTATGATAGCTCTTTGGCTAGAAGGCTACCATAGAAACTGATATAATTAGCTTTGTGAATCGCTATGGATAATCGTTGACGAAGAAAAAAACCCTCTCGGGGTTCTTCTGAGAGTTTGCTGATTTGTGATCCTAATTTTTTGAAAAATGCTAAGGCGAGTTTGCCGAAGGTGCCAAGAGTGGTTGATATGATTGGGATGAAGCAATGATCGTTTATTATTTCTGTGTATTTAGAAATTTTAAGTTGTTCCTTCTGGTCAAGGATGTTGATGGCGTGGTTGGATGGGGCCAAGGGGTCAATACAGGAATAGTCCCATACCAAAAGTTGGCCTCTCCTCCATGGGATTTGAGAGATCCCATCAGGACGTTTACCGTCAGATCTAAAAAGACCCTGTGGTTCTAACGTGGAAGGAATTTGGGCGGATTTCAGAGCATGTTGGATGATTGTATTACATTGCTTGTGTCTGATGAATCGTCCATTGCAGGATCGACAATGTAAACTATGTCTACCCTTCGAGTCAACTGGCGAGTTGCACCCTGAGCAGATGTGGGGGTGAGTGATGGAACAATTTAGACGAATGCCGATGGCATGGGTAAATTCATTGTTGGATAGTTGAAGCTGAAGATTGGTAGATGGGATGGCCTCAAGAAACTCATGTCGCGTACCATTGAGCAAGGAAGAGAATAGGGTGGGGTCGGTAGATTGCATGCTAGATAAGAGAGTTTCAACGCAGCGAGCAACCACTGGTGCATCCCAGTCTTTCTGTTTATGGGTTGTGGGGGGATGAGAATCAGCATTGATCCTTGTTTTCCAAATATCCATAGCCACGATTAAGGAAAGGTCTTCTTTAGAATTATGGGCGGATGTTATTGGCTTTGTCAAGAGACTACTCGATATGAAAGTAGTTGTTGCTAAGTCAAGTGGAGATCTGATGCCGAGACCACCAAATTTGGTTGGAAGAGTTGCTTGGGCCCAAGCAGTTTCGTTGAATCTGATATTTACTATTTTTTCGGTTAAGTCCTTTATTCCTTTTTCGTAAGTTTGGAGAGGAATAGGATATTTAAAAATTGGAGTTGACCGAAGTGCGTAAAGAATCCTTGGTATAAAAAAGAAATTTTTTAGCAAAAAAAAGGACTTGTGTGATGGAAGAAGTGTAAAGATGTCCTCCAGTTTAAGGAGTATGTCAAGTGAGGAATGAAGAAAGGTGCTTATTGCCTCGTGTCCTCCAACAGGCGATCCTAGATGTGTTAATTCAACGCTTGATGTGAATTTGAAATCGTGAGTGTTGGGAGCATTAGAATTTAAAAGTGAGAATTCAGATTTGCTCTGGTTAAGCGAAAGTCCAATGGCTGTGCCCATTTCTTTAATTATGGTGACTGCTTTGGCAATTTCACTACTGGCACCACTCAAGATTCCATCATCAATATACCAAGCGTGGAGCGATAGAGTACATGAAGAGTTTATTGATTTTATCATGTCATTGATTCCAAGACTAAAGAGAAGGGATCCGAGAGGGTCACCTTGTTGGATACCCTCAACAGAAAGTATCTTTTCTTTGTTGAATTGTAAGATTGTTGGTGATTGGTAGCAAGAGAAAAGAAATTTGGTATAAGCTGGGAAATGGAAGCAAGTTGAATGTAGGAACGTATTTTGAATATTTTGGCAAATCATAAAAATAAAGAAGCATTACAATCTCCTCAAACATGACATCATATTAAATCTTAATAATTATCCGATAATAGTAATAATATTCTTACTTTGGTATTTCTGCAGCATAATTTAGTGAACCTTTATTAAATTATATTCTTCTGATTGCAACTGCATATTAACAGTATATAGTAGATTTCCTATATGTAAAATTCCTAAATAAACTTTTGCAATTTATTTTTGAAAATTTTTTTCAAAATATTAGGACAGCTTTTATAATCTATTTATTTTTTAAAGGTTTGTAAAATTTTAAAATTCTACGATGGCGCGTATTAGGAGGAACCTGTCAACCAACATTATGCTGACTCAATTCTGTAAATACACTCTGGTTTTTGCCAAATTCACTGAGGAATTATCAGATCAGAAAGCTGCCATGCAATACATTGGTAATGCCAAATCTGCCATATTTACCATTATATATGGTTAGCTATGTCTTTGGATATTTCATATCTGGAGAAAAAATTTTTAATAGTTTTATTGAAATGACATTAATTTTGTTGAAATAGGGGAGGATCAAGGGAAATGTTTTGATATCTCCTTATTAGATGCATCTGTTAGAATTGCATATGTTTGCACATCTTTCAAATCGTCAAGAATTGACCTTCTGGATTTATATCCTAAAACATTGATGATAGCCTTGCTCATTTGTGTTCTACAAAGTATACTTTTCATTTATATTAGTCGTTAAATATTATGGGGAAAGATTCTACCAACATTGTGATATTAAGTAGCTCTCTGAATGTTGTACTGCATGATAGATATTTACCATTTCCGCAACTGTAATTGCATCTGTATTATTTCTTATTTTTGAAGAATATTTTTGTTTTGCAATAGATGTTGATAAACTGCCCTGTACTGATTTATGCTTTGAAGATTTTTGATGCCTCAAAATATCATATTCCCTTCCCCCATTGTATTAACTAAATACTATAGAACAACTTCCCCGCACTGATTATAATTATTTTTTACATTGTAAATTTAAAATTGTTTGTTTTTTTATGAAATCTTATTTATATATTAGCATAAAATATATTTTTTTACATTGTAAAATTACAATTTTTTTATAAAATTTTATCTTGTTTACATTCTTTTGTATTTAAAAAAGATCGTTGGTTATTATTTTTAAACAAAATTAATATATTATAATAAATCAATGTTATTTTAATAATAAAGATAGTATTTAAGAAATTTTGTATCGTACTATAATTACCTATTTTGAAAATTGAAAAATAGTTGGCTATTTTATTTTGAAAAATAGTTGGCTATTTTATTTTGAAAAATAGTTGGCTATTTTATTTTGAAAAATAGTTGGCTATTTTATTTTGAAAAATAGTTGGCTATTTTATTTTGAAAAATAATTACCTATTTTATTTTGGAAAATAGATTCGATTTTATATTTATAAAAAATAATAAGCGGATAACTAAGTCAATTCTAAATCCCGGTTAGCAATTTTTAAATTTCTCCCATAATTTTTATATTACTCCCACAAAATACCGAATTTCTCCCACAATTTGAAAATTTTGACCTGGCAACCCTGTGTGGGAGTGAGATATTCCAATGCATTTTTTCTTCTCTCTCTAAAATCGAGAGAGCCGTAGAAACAGGTTCCATAACTTATAAAATCATATATGTAGCCATATAATATTCATAAAAAATCTTTGTAATTTGGATTTATCGCATGATTATTCAAATTTGTGGGTAATTTACACTTTCAGAATGTAAACTTTGTACCCTTCGTTTTCTTTATTAGTGTTAAAAATGTTTCACATTGGAACCAGGGCAGGCTAAACTCATCTTCATCTGAAGAAAATGTACAACTGACATAATAAAATAAATTATAATTAGTGAATAATAATTTAAATTAACATATACTTTGATTGATGCAATATTAATTAGATTTACAATCTTGACTGAAAATTTAACAATGAAAATTTAAAATGAAAATGAAGGACTTTTGTGGTTGATATGAATTAAAAACTCGACTTGTTTATTTTTAAAATTTAAAATATAAATAAAATAATTTTATAATGCAATAAAATATGTTTTTTCCATATTTTTTAAAAAAAGAAGTAGCGGGTAAAGTTTTGCATCACCGTCACTCAAAAAAAATAAATGAAAAGGTAACTTCCGTTATTTTTTTGAAGTTACGCTACAGCCATATACAAAATGTGTGATCCGCAAGCGGAATTTATCTTACAGCAAAACAATAACATCATTCATCAAAATTAACTAAATATTTATATTAGATAATAATATTATAATATTTGAATGGTCTGTGAATATTCCTGACTTATTTTTTTAAAGTCCAGACCGAAATTTCTTTGTTTTAAGTTAAAAAAAGAAAATTTTTAACCCGGGTCGGAAATTTTTTTTCAAAAAATTATAAGGGTCAGACTTAAAATTATAACCTGGGCAGAAAAATAAAGAAAGAAAGAAAAAAGAAAGAAAGAAAGAAAGAAAGAAAGAAAGAAAGAAAGAAAGAAAGAAAGAAAGAAAGAAAGAAAGAAAGAAAGAAAGAAAGAAAGAAAGAAAGAAAGAAAGAAAGAAAGAAAGAAAGAAAGAAAGAAAGAAAGAAAGAAAGAAAGAAAGAAAAACTTAGGATCGGCCTATACAATTAGTACCTCTGCTGGTTTCTGATAAATGTAAAGATAACTATAAGTAAAAATATGTCTTTCGTTTGGGCCAAAAGTAGAACTCTACGTAAAAATATAAAATTTAGTCCGAGTTCAAGCTTATAAAATTTTTTAGACCAAGGTCAAATTTTTAAAAAAATCGACATAGTTTTTATTTTATCAAAATACATTTAATTTACATTATTCAATTAAAAATTTCCAGTAGAGTTCCGGCCTATAAGAATAAAATTTTTTAACTTAGCCAGGATCGTGATAAAAAATAGCTTGAGCTGAATCGGGCCAAAAATAAAATTTATTTTTCAAAGCTCTTAATATTCATAAATAGCCGAATTATTTATAAATAACACTATTATAGTATTTACTATACTTGACCAGTGCTGATTGTTTTCCAAACCTGAAATCCCATCAATTTTAGAATATAACAATAAAATATCATAATGTAATTCAAAGTATTTTTCTACCTCTTTTTTCTGTTTATGCTTGCATGATTGATTTTATCTTCTCTGTTAAAACAATGTTGAGCCGATATAATCCAAATCTCATTTATCAGCGAACCTCCACATCCGTGTCTGCCTCTCATTCTAATACTTACTTGCCAGGGCCAGGCTCCAGGAGGAGAGGGCATTCCTCCTACTATTCTCTGACTATTAATTGTATCGTATCGACTTTTGGAAATATTGTAATACCAAAGATAATCAAATATTTCTTTATTAGACTTCTCACTATATTCCTCTATGTCAGAAGCTAGTTCATCATCTTTCACAATGTCGTATCTATTTGAATTAGAAGAAGCTCTTTCATAATAGATATTGCTCTCATTACTATCAAAATCTTTGGTTTCTTCTACGTTTGAATTTGAAGATGTCAATTTAAATAAGGATCTTCCTTCCGCAATTTTGTTAAAAGATATATTACCATTATTTCCTTGTGGAAAATTTGTGGTTAAAAATTTGTTCAATTTTGCGTAATTTTCCTTATCATTTTCAGTGATTGAGACTCTTCCACATACACCTTCGAGGTTTTTTTTAGAAATTTTAGGAGAATAGGTCGCTTTGAGAAATAATTTTGTTCTTTCGGTTTTTAACAAAGTTTTACGCGAGATTTTAAATTGTGGGTTATTATTACGCGAATCTGATACTTGACTAATGACCGGATGAATATCTATAATGATGTTTAAATATATTTATGAATTATAACTATAAATTAATATATTACTTAACTTTGCTATATAAATATTTTTAGATAAATGGAAAAAATTATCTGAATATTTAAATTCAGTGTAAAAAGAATTATAAACATAATTTAAAAAACTATTTTAATAATAAATGAATGTATACTGTAATATTTGCAACTCTTTACATAAATATTGATATAATAGTAAGATAAACTAAGGCTATATTTATTGTATTTCCATCGATTGTTTTGGGCCATGGCACCATGACCTCTTGGGTTCAAATTTAGGCTTAGGAGAATTATTTTACCATCGGAATTGAGTAAATCAACAACTTCTCCCCTTATTTCATTATTATTTTTGTTGACTCTCGAAATTAAATCTTCTTCCATATTATTCTTCGCACTATTTGCCACGTTTTTAATATTACAAGGAGATATCTTGCCCAAATTATAACCCATGCCACCCATAATTGGTATGGTTTCACACTTAATCATTAGATTTCCTCCTTTAGATAAGTACGTCCTTATTTTATAAATAAAACCTTGATTTTCATATGTGGAATGCAGTTCTAGTGAAATGTTGCTAAAGGTTTTAGAACCAGTTTTGATTTTTCTTGATAAGTAAAATTAAAAATTAAATATTGTCATGTAAAAATATTGATTTAATTTATATTGGGTTAAATAATTAAAGATTGAGGTAACCAACAATAAAGTTTAATTTATAAGTATATTAAAAATTGTTTTACTTTACTGTAAGATATGATGGATTAACACTTCTCTGAGAGTTGATTTCTAATTTTAAATCTGTATCAATGTCGACTTCGTAAAGATTTATGTTGAGATCTAACCAATTATTTAGAATAGTGATTTCGTCCATAGATAAGATAGTTAAGTTTAATTCTATCATATTTTCATCTTTTAAGTTGAAATTAGGTTTAAAATGTTGACCTAACCTGATTTTGATAAATTCATCTTTAGAAATTTCGAAATAAATTGATTTGTGTTGGCTCCCTGTTCCAATTTTATACACACCAGATGGGCACATACAAGATATATCCAAAAAACTATGGTATACCACATCTATTTAATGGAAATAAATTTAAAGACTAAATTAATAATTCTCAAATAATATGAGATTAATCAAACTTAGACTTAATTGATTATTTAAAGGCAATTAATCTCTAGAGGGAGAGAATTCGTAAAAAGATTAATTTTATATTTTATTAGGATAATTCAAGGATCAAAAAATTATATTTGCTAGTAAGATAACTATTTTTGAATAGTGGTTAATTTTCATTGAAAATGGCAATCCTTAGAGGGTTGTTAAAAACTTCAATTTAGCCTATTTAAAACTGCTATACAATATTTTAGCCAAACATATATTTCCCAAGCTTCGAATTTAGTCATAATCGAAATTTATAACAAATTTATTGTTAATTTTGATATGTATTAATTAGAGCCTTATAAAAAGTTAGCCTGTCTGGACCCGATAATAAAATTGTTCTTTATATTGTAGAATTCGAGTTATTGATATGTAATTAACCTTTTTGGCATCCAGTTCGGGATTCAGCTATTACTACTTCCCATGTTAAAGAAGCCAACAATATCAATACAGTTATTCTATAAGGACTGGTTGGAGTCATTTAAATAATGGAATCTTTAAAAAATAAATATTATAAAAGTTTAAAATAAATATAAATAATTAAATACAAATTTGGTTATATAATATATATTTTTTACTCTTGAAATCATAAATTTCAAGGTCGTCTTCATTATATTACCATTGTTTCTATTTTTATATTATAAATTATATATAGTATATGCGTTTAATTAATTAAATAAATTATAAAGGGGATAAATTAATTTTATATCAAAAACTATTGTTATCATTAGAAAAATAATAGTTGTATAATATCTTAATTATCATACATAGAAAAAATGCCATAATTTGGAATAAATTAATTTCGTATTAAAATCTATTTAATTTTTTATTAAAGCAAGTAAAATTAAGGAGACCGGGAATCTTATGAACCCGATGTTCTTGCGAGCCTTGGGGTTTTCTTCTAGACTCAACTTTATTGGTTGATTTTGATTTAATCAATATGTATAACTAAATTATGCATATACGGCTATTTTTTTAAATATCGGATATCACATAAAATTTTTATAACAAAATATATTATTCATACCATCAAAAGTAATTTTTTAAATGCTGCAATTTATCAAAAATAAAAAATAATAAAGATTTTAAATATCCAATAACTATCTTATATAAAAGATTAAACCCTATTCTATATAAAATTATATTTGAACAAAAAATATATTAACAATACCATAAAATAAATTTTAAAGATATTGAGGATCTGGGGTTGCTTTTCAAAGGTTCATATGACCATTGTGAACCTTATTTTTAAAATTTATTTTTACCTATTGAAGTTTGAATATGGTAAGAAATTATATTTTAAAAAAACAAGTAACAAATGAGGAAATCACTAACATTAAAATCCATCCTTGCAACTGCAAGCCATTATGGAGAAAGCAAATTTAGGGGATTTTAAATTGTCTACGTCAAGCCTATTTAAGAAATATCAAGAAACTATATTAAACACATATCTAATAACATCTAAAATGTTTATGGGTATTTGTCTTACGTATATGCTCTGTTTTCGCATGGATCCTTTTGCAATTTTATTTGTTCATTGTTAATATATTTAACAATTTTTATAATTATTTTACATTGTGGCTTATTTTTATAAATATAGTAGTTGCAATAATATATATCATTTTTATATAAAAATAATCAATATTAGAAGCTCAAAAGCTCCTCACGGGAAAGCTCCTCACCGGATATAGCTTATCCTCTCCCAAATACTTTTTTCGGAAAAATTAATATTGTTAAAACTGTATAATTTTTTAAAATATTATTATATAGGTATAGCATAAAAGTAAATAAATGAAATAAAATGAGATATTATCAATTCGTTTTCATTTTTTTAACGTTTACCTTTTAGGACTCGCATACTCCCCGGTCTCTACTACTCAGAATTTCTTTTAATTTTTCTTATAAAATTAAAATCACTCAGATCTATATCATTTTTTAAAAGGAATTTACTAATAGAAAATACAATTCTTTTATCCCGCCCCCCCCCCTATTCTATGCAAACATTCTTATCATATCAATATCGATGCCTATTCCACCTCGACTGGCAAGGACATCTTATTTTATTGCTGGTGCAACTACAGGTTTTAACCTTTATACATTTAGAGTAGCTAGAAACTAATTATGATTCTTATAAGGAACCCCAACTACATCCTTAAAATCCACGAATAGAGTACCCAATCTGCACCTAATTTTTGAAAAGATATTTGAACCTCTTGATATCCTAATTCTTTTTAGATTGATAAGTATCACTGACTATTTTTTAATTTTTTTTATATTGCATATATACTGATAGCTATTTAAACTAGTCTATAGAAGGGTTATTTACCATAGAATTTATTTTTATCCTTATAGATATAATTTGACAGAAGAGAATCTTGTAAATTATAATTCTAATTGCGTCTTATAACCATTTTCTAAATGGGCAAATTAATATCAGAATTCAAATTTTGTTATGAAAGATTTGGTAGCTAATCCTCCAAGAAACGTCATGGAAGTATTACATATTTTAAATATATCTTGGACTTCTTTCCAAATATATTAAAATTACGTAATTTGGGAACAATGCCAATTGGTACATACACAAATAAGCAGGCGCGTACGCAGCAGGGGGAGCAGGGAGACAAATCCTCCCCCCCCCCTCCTAAAGCCAAAAAATGCAGATGCCGGATATATTTTTCAAAAATATTATTGTTTATAATAATTTATATTTGTTAATTTATTCCTATTTCATATTAAATATTTAATTACATTTATTTATCATATTCATTTACTAAGTTATTTTATAGATTAATTTCGATTTCAAGTTTTCCGGCGTGTTATTTATTTATTATTTTCAAATTTTTAGTGGTGTAATATTTATCTACCATTTTCAAATTTCTAGTCAAATAATAATTATTTCTGAAACTCCTTGTCCAACAGGGAGAAAGAAATTGCAAGCTTGTCCAACAAGATAGTCTTCGCCATCAAGCAGTAACATCTTTTATGGAGTTAGGAGAGATTATTTACTATTACTTAAATATCACAATGGCCTGAAGGAAATATTTCCTCAAAAGCAAGAAAATTATTGGATACAATGCTTATTCCTTATTTTTTTTCTCAATCGAATGTATTATTTAATTATACAACTTTATGTAATACTTTTCAAAAACATGACATTGACTTGATTAAGAAGATGAGAATAGCGGAGAGCATTTTATTAAAACTCAAGGAAATTAGGGCTAATATTGATAAAGAATTTCATATTATATGTTATTGTTGAGTCAAAAGCAGAGCTATATGTGTTTAATATTTGTCTCCTTATACTTGCATCAAGGCAAGCTCATCGTTAAAACATTAATATAGGATGAGTAGAAGAGTATTATATAACAAATGTTTCCTCTCTTAGATACATTTATAACCCAAATAAATGAATGGTTTTTAATTCATCATGTAGCACTTATCTGCAGATATTAATTCCACAAAAGCCTTACCAACCTTTTTCAGATGGTGATAGAAAAAAAATATTTGTTAGATTTTTATCATGAAAATGTTAAAGTATCTTATGATGCCTTATTAGCTGAATAACTATATTTATAAAATTAACTATGCTATGGTTGATATAGTCCCAAAAAATGCTATGGATGCTTTGCATTTTAAACACATTTAAATTATATTCCCAATGTTTTAAAAGGGTTTATATATATTAGCAACTCTTCCCATTAGTAAACTAATGAGAGAACATTCTCATTTTTATTTATAACAGAGCCCTGCAGAGGTACCATTAGCAGGGCATGGCCCGGATTTTTTTTAAAAAATTTTTACGGCCCGGTTCGGGATTTTTAAAAAAATTTTCAGGCCCGGCCCAGATTTTTTAAAATAAGAAAATCTTTCTTTTTGATTTTTATAGCTAATAATAACGATTTCAAATATAGGCTGTTTTAAAATACACAACCCAGCCCAAATTTCAGGCCTCCGGCCCTGGTATATTTAAAAAATTAAAATACGGTCCGGCCCGGGGGCCAGGTCTGCAGGTTTCTGAAAAACATATCAAGAAGTACAACTTCTGAAAGTAGATTGATAGGTTTGAATCTTTTGAATATTCATAGGCATTTGACGACAAGCAAGGATGAGATAATTGAAAAATTAGCTCAATCCCAACGAATATTGGATTTTACATGTAAATATATAACATAAAAAATACAATTATTCCTAAGAAACTTTTTGTGTATTAATTTAAATTTCCAACATTTAAATTTTTTATGTATATAAATTTTAAAGGCTCAAAAAATTCAATTTTCTATTTTGGGTCATTTAGGTGATTCATATAGTGGTTATATTCACTTTATATTTTATAATTCACATTTATTTTATAGTTTTTCTATACCGCCAGTTATATCCGTTTAATATTTTTTAATTCACATTTATTTTATAGTTTTTTATATGATGACGGTTTATACATATAATTTTTTTATAATTCACATAAATTTAAAATTGTGTATTAGAAATAGTTATTAGTTCTAATAAATTTATGCGTGATACTGATAATTTTTAAAAAAAAATAATATTTTTTTAAAAAATTGATTAGCCCCCCACCCCCCAAGACCAAATTTCTGCGTACGCGCCTTCAAATGAGAGGATCTTTTCTTCATTATGGAGAATAAAAATATATCTACAAAATATTAAAACATTGGGGAAATCACAAAAAAGATTAAATTTTTAATTATGGATGATATTTTAAATAAATTTTTCAGGCGCATAACCAAGAGGGAGGAAAGCGGGAAATTATCCTCCTCCCAATTCGAAATTTGCCTGTTTTCATAAATATCATTATAAGCTAATAAAATTTATCCCCAATACACCCACCCTCAAATGTAAACAATATACTAGGGATCTGCAAAAGTAGTTTTTTAAAAAATATATTGGGTTCGGGCTGGGCTGGGCTTAATATTTTTTAAAAATTCGGGCTGAATCGGGTTTGTCTTTAGAAATTTTTTTTTATATCTAAATTTATCAATTTTATGTTAAATTTTTAGTGTAAAATAAAAGTATTTGATTTTATTTATAGAAACTAAACGCCATATAACATATATCATTTATTTTGAGTAATTATAAAATTAAATTTCTATATTTAAATTAATTCGGGCCGGGCCGGCAAAACTTTTTTAAAAATATTTGGGGTTCGGGTCGGGCCGGCAAAATATTTTTAAAAAAATTTTGGGCCGGGACAGGCTTGAAAAATTAAGCCCGATGCAGATCACTACAATATACCACTATAAATAAAAATTTAGAAAAAAAGTAATAGTTAGTAATTTTTAAAAGTAACGACTACAATTCAAATTTTTTAGAAAACAACATTTTATATATAAAAAAGTGAAGGACATAGTCAAAGGTCTACATTAAGTGGGTCTAAAGACCTAATAAAATTTATAGCGGAAAAACTCACCTAAGATAGGAAAATCGTGGTTAATACTATACATTAACATCAATTTGAGCGTTTTATTTTCGTTTATACATAAATGATATTATCGTATTGGGAAATTTAAAAA